AGATCCTCATGGGAACCTTGCTTGACCCTGATTTCAATCTCCCACCCCTCAGCAACATTGCCACTCAGCCTGTGGGCAGCAATGCTTGTGGCTGCTATGTGCTCCATTACATGGAGCAAGAGCTGAGGCTTTTCAGGGGTGAGTGGCCTTCAGTCTGGCCTGAGGATGGCTGGAAAGATTGGAAACTCAGGTTGGCCACTATTGTGCCTAAGCTGGTGGCTCAGGCAAATGCACTCATTGAAGATGCCAAAATCAGACATGCTAAGCTTGAGTCTGAAATGGCAGGCATTGCTCAGCAAAAAAACAAGGCTGAGAAAAGGCTGAGCAAGCTGACTGACATCACCTCAGTTGCCTACCAGACTGCCAAGGACCAGCTGGACAAGAACTCAGTGAGATTCACCTGGAAAAACCTTTCTCAGGACTCAGTTCACAAGGTCAAGCTCCTGAAGGATTCCTTTGGCAAATGTTCTAAGTGCAGGTGGCAGTCAGGCTGCCTGAACTGTGATGCCTACAAATGCATCAGGTACCACCTGCACTCAGAGGCTGCTAAGGCTCACAAGCTGCCTTATCTCAGCACAGGCCCTGAGGATCTGGAGCAGCTGCTCAAGTCAGCTACCCTGCCAATCTCAGCAAGCTCATCTTCAGCACCTATTTCTTCGAGCTCAGCTGCACCTACCTCATCAACATCAGCTGCACCTGCCTGAAGCTCTACTGAGAGACAGTGATTTGTAGCTTTGCACTGGGCAGGCTTAGGATTTGTTAATTTCAGTGCCAAAAAAGTAAAACAGCTTGCATGTGCTGCATGTGGTGCAATTAATTTTAAAATTGAAAAAAAGGTGTTGATTTCTTTCAAACTTGCATTTGCTGCATGTGGTGGAATTTGACAATTGGGGAAAGGGTTTTTATTTTTAAAAGTTGTTGGGCACAATAGAGTACCATCCAAACATTCATATTATTGAGTAATTGAGCCACTCATGGGGTACCACCTTGAAAAATTGTTTGGATGCTGTTTTTTAATAAGGGTTTAATAAGGCATCTAATTATTTGGAAAACCTTGCATTTTAAAGCTTTAATACAAATATGGTTTTCTAAAGTAAATGGACCAGCTTTACTCAAAGAAAGGTTGAGAAAGGGTTTTTATTTTTTTCAACCCCAAAAGTTGCTTGGCACAATAGAGTACCATCCAAACATTCATATTATTGAGTAACTGAGCCACTCATGAGGTACCTCCTTGAAAAATTGTTTGGATGCTGTTTTTTAATAAGGGTTTAATAAGGCATCTAATTATTTGGAAAACCTTGCATTTTAAAGATTTAACACAAATATGGCTTTCTAAAGTAAATGGACCAGCTTTACTCAAAGAAAGGTGGAGAAGGTTTTTGATTTTTTTTCAACCCCAAAAGTTGCTTGGCACAATAGAGTACCATCCAAACATTCATATTATTGAGTAACTCAGCCACTCATGGGGTACCACCTTGAAAAATTGTCTGGATGCTGTTTTTTTAATAAGGGTTTAATAAGGCATCTAATTATTTGGAAAACCTTGCATTTTAAAAGCTTTAACACAAATAGCTATTTCTAAAACAAATGGACCATCTTTACTAAAGGAAAGGTTGAGAAGGTTTTTGATTTTTTTCAACCCCAAAAGTTGCTTGGCACAATAGAGTACCATCCAAACATTCATATTATTGAGTAACTCAGCCACTCATGGGGTACCACCTTGAAAAATTGTCTGGATGCTGTTTTTAAATAAGGGTTTAATAAGGCATCTAATTATTTGGAAAACCTTGCATTTTAAAGATTTAACACAAATATGGCTTTCTAAAGTAAATGGACCAGCTTTACTCAAAGAAAGGTGGAGAAGGTTTTTGTTTTTTTTCAACCCCAAAAGTTGCTTGGCACAATAGAGTACCATCCAAACATTCATATTATTGAGTAACTGAGCCACTCATGGGGTACCACCTTGAAAAATTGTCTGGATGCTGTTTTTTAATAAGGGTTTAATAAGGCATCTAATTATTTGGAAAACCTTGCATTTTAAAGCTTTAACACAAATATGGTTTCTAAAGTAAATGGACCAGCTTTACTCAAAGAAAGGTTGAGAAAGGGTTTTTGTTTTTTTTCAACCCCAAAAGTTGCTTGGCACAATAGAGTACCATCCAAACATTCATATTATTGAGTAACTCAGCCACTCATGGGGTACCACCTTGAAAAATTGTCTGGATGCTGTTTTTTAATAAGGGTTTAATAAGGCATCTAATTATTTGGAAAACCTTGCATTTTAAAGCTTTAATACAAATATGGTTTCCTAAAGTAAATGGACCAGCTTTACTCAAAGAAAGGTTGAGAAAGGGTTTTTATTTTTTTTCAACCCCAAAAGTTGCTTGGCACAATAGAGTACCATCCAAACATTCATATTATTGAGTAAATCAGCCACTCATGGGGTACCACCTTGAAAAATTGTCTGGATGCTGTTTTTTAATAAGGGTTTAATAAGGCATCTAATTATTTGGAAAACTTTGCATTTTAAAGCTTTAATTTAAAAAAATGAAAAAACAGAAAAACATTTTTTAAGTAACTAATTTAAAAATAAATTCAAAAAATAATAATTAAAAAAAATTGAAAAAATAAAAAACAATCTGGAAAAACATTTGCCACAATACAGGCCCCCCCCCACCAAACAGCAGGTTACTGAATAAGGAGGAAACTTTTTGCCACAATAGAGTACCATGCTACTAATCAGGTGCCAACATTAATAATATTGATTTTGTTTTATATATGTCAATTGTCATTTTTTTCATTATTTTTCCTGACTTTGTTTCGCACGGTGTTCTGTCCGTCCACGCTTCGTCCTCGCTCCCTCTGCGGCGAAGCAAACTAAAACTAAACGAGAATCCAGAAATATATAAATAGCGACTAGAAAGATGGGATAAAGTTCATTAGCAGCAATAGCGACTGGAAGAATGTAGACGTAGCTGACACAGCATGCTGTGGTGAATTGTGGCCCATGATACCATCAGTGCGCACGATGTTTCAGTGAAGATCTTACATCGATTTCGTCCAGAGCACAGCTGCCCACACCACAACATTTTCAAAAAAAGGCGTGCTGTGCGCCGTCTTGCTTTTGGGTTCTCTGGCCCACCTTGTTTTTTTTTATATAACAGGTCTTGTTCACCAACATCATCAAAATCATCATCTGATGTCAGATCAATGAAGAGAGTTTTCCACCATTTTTCAACATTTTTCAACTATTCTTGGCATGTTCCATCCGTTTCACCATGGGGTCGACCATCCAAGTCGTAGTGTTGTTTCGGATTTCGTAAGGTCAGCGTATCCCCAGGGTCTGTCGAGCCCACCTGGAACGGTCGGGTCCAGTCCTCGAGCCATTTCGTGGGTTCACCTGTGAATTCTGAATGGTGTTAACCTGTTAATTATTGAATTATAGTACTACAGTAATCACCATTATTATAACTAGATAATTATTATTGTAATGAACCTGTTAATTTTATATCTATAGTTATTAGTGAACCTGTTAATATCATGAACAACAAGTGATGTTATTATATCATTGTTGTATCTAGATCACAATCACCATCATAATTGTGATATACATTGATATACAACCATCATAATTGTTAATAATGATATTATAATTGATCATGATACTATTTATATGATTCTTTATGACCCTGGGAAATATTATCACTATAAAATATACTGTTATGGTCTGTTAAAACATATTCTGAACTATGAGAATAAACTGTTTTATGTCAATTATCATTATTGTTCATAATTTTGAATTATTTTCCTGACTTTGTTTCATGTGTTTCATTTTCTAGTATATGGTTCATTATTGTTTCTTTATTTTTTTTTGAATGTTTTGCGTTGTCTTTTCCCGTTGTTTTTTCAACGTCGTTCCTTCGGGTTTTGAGTGTTTTTCATTGTGTTTTTGGATTTTCGATAGTTTTCCAAGTTTTGTCACCCGTTTACATTGTTTTGTTGAATGTTTTTATTTGTTTTATTTGTTTTAACTTCAACGTGCTCATTGTCTTTTCTTCAGAGATGTTCATTGCATTTCCATTTTTTCAAGTGCTGTTCATTGTATTTGATTGATTTTCCGGGTTTATATGTTCCATTGTGTACCTCACAATGTTTTCATTTTTTTCAAGGTTGTTCATTGTTTGTTTCTTGCTGGTTTTTGTTTATTTTCCAAATAAATATTTAACTATATAACTGTAGGTATTTTAAATATTTTGCCATTTTTGTTTGGTCATTTTTATATTTTCATAGATGTTTTGAAATAATATGTGTTTCACCATTTCGTGGGTTCCATCCGTTGTAGCCCGTTTTTTGGGTCGGTGTAGCCGGGAAGACCTGGAAGGTCACAACGAGTCCAAGTCCTCAAGCCATGGATTTTCCCATGAAATACATGGTGGTTTTCCATAGTTAAACGTTTACCAGGGCGTATTGCCATAATCTTTGTATATATATTTTTTTTCAGAAAGCAAGTTATTGTCCAACCTTTTCAGATAAAAACCATAGGGGTTCCACCCCGTTGTGTTCCGATGTAGGTCTGCGGTGTAGCCCAGGAAGTGGACCCAAGTCTGGGCCTGGGACCTTGATTTTCGTTCAACGTTTACACTGAGGGTATAAGGGGAGCAATCCGAGTCCCAAAAAACACTTGTCAAATGCAATGCAGAATCACTATATAGAAGCCACTGTTGAGTAGAGAAGCCACTAAGCCACTGTTTTGAGAAATGAACTGTGGATAACTGTGGATTCTTGCGAAATCCTGCACCACCTTTGGATGGTTGAAACATGTTGAAACCCATGGTTTTCTTTTGCCACATCCCTCAACTGGTGTAGAATTTGGCAACCATCCATGGTATCGCATACATAAATTATAGATGTATATCTGTATATATCCCATTATATCCCACTATATTCCCATGATACTTCCAGTAAATCCCACGGTCAAATTAATAAAAAAACCGGGGGACCTTTCGGAGGCTTCAGTCAACGATCCTACTGACCTGCACTGCAGCTTCATCTTCAAGGATGTTGCCCTGGGAAGAACTGAGAACCTGAGGCGTGAGGCGAAAACTGTGAAGAACTCTGGTGATGGAACTGGTGAAGAAAGAATGGCATCACAGATTCTGGTAGAATACTATATGGTATATCCCATCATATCCAGTATTTTTTTTTGGGAATCACATTCAAGATTTTATTATATTTTATTGAAGTAATTGTGATATATTGTTTAATTACTCCAATATATAATAAAATACACGTAAATTATACACAATTAGATATTGGAGTAATTAAACAATCTAATCGGTGATTGCACCAAAAATGATTTTATGATGATTAGATTAATAATTATATAATGGCATCCCCCTAATATCAACCCCCAAAAAAATGGTCCCAAATATTTGCGAAATCTTGGTGGGTTCTTTGCATCGAGATCCTCCTGGAACAGTGTGCCTCATCCTGAATGGAAAGGGATGTTTTTTTTTTGCAATCCCTTCCCCCGCTCAAAAAAAAACACACCCGAAACGACACCATGGTGGATGTAGGGAATTTCCACAATTGGGACCATAGAAATGGGGTGTTTAATAAGTTTCATATGAACGGATGATGGGATTATGGTTGATGATCTTCGTGGTGACCAATCTCCTCGGAAATGTTGAGCAATCCGGAGATCATCTCTTTGAACAGTTCTATGATTAGGTGGGTCACCAAGCATATCATCTCATAGAATCTTGGAACCACTTGAACCAAGATTCTTTCAACTTTTATCAACTAATCTTTTAATTCATTTTGAGGTTCCGAGTCCATTTGATTCATTGGGAACCACAAAATCTTTGAGTTAGCTGATTCCAAATCTGGATAAATATTGTCTGGATAAACTGAAGTAGGATAATTACCATTTGATAACATGGGATGGTATTACCATTATACAGTATATTTTGGAATAATTTCCCATTGGTACCACGAAGTTGTTCTGGTGATTTGGACTCTGCTTCCCACGCTGATGCCGTCCAGTGACATCCAGGATCTTATTCTCAGTCGACTTCCAATTGCTCCTTGTTCTCACCTGCGATGAGTCGATGAGAGATTTTAGCCCCGGTGAATTTCAACCCGATGCTTCACAAGTGGCGCTTGGTGGTTACGGAGCCCTTAATAAACCTTTATCATCGGGCTGTCACTTTTGGGGGAGCCTCCAAGTACCTAGAAGTACCTGGGGTACTATACTGATTATGACTTGGGACTTTTACGTAGCAATTTTGATGGGTACGGTACGGAAAATCGGAAAGACATAAGTACATTTTCCGTCATGTCATAAGTATGAAAATGATTCAAACTGGAGGTTTCCAGTTTCGTCCCGAAAAATGATCCAAGCCATTCAACCATGGTGACGACTGGGGATCCTCCATGGCTTGAGAACCCACGTCCTGGGGCACCTTCGACCAATCTGGCCTTTTCCTCTGCCAGATCTGGACGTTCCTGCAAGATGGATCTGGACCAAGGCACTGCAGTGTCTTTGATGCTTCAAAGTCGGAAACACGTAAAGGAAACCAAAAAAAAACATAGATATCATTACATATCTAGATCGAAATGATCGATAGATGCGTGGTATCTCGATTTGTGATGCGCAGTTTTCTCTTTAGCAGCTCTTGAATCGAGCGAAGTACCCCATGACACCATGACACTGGGCTGCCTTTTCAACCACGATGTTCAGCAACTGGTCTTGTAGTCCCACCTGGTGAGATGGCTGCCACAAGTGACGACTGCGGCATGTGAAGTTTAAGCAATGTTCCTATCTGCAGAGTCTCAAAATGGTAGATGTAGGCATTAGAAACACGCACAACATCACCCCAGGTACTGTTATCGACACACTTTCACTAAACTCGACCCAAATCCATCATTCAAATATCTTCAGCAAGTGGAAAAAAGGGATGGACATTGATTTTGAAAGATGCTGCTGGCGAATTTTAACTCACGACATAGTCCAACTTCACCCATCTGAAGGCCCGGATAAGCCTTCTTTTGCAACATTGCTGGCACCCCGAAATGAGGAGATCAATCAATGGATTGGTTTAAGGCAAAATTGAAACCGGAAACCCGATATTTCTATGGGAAAACCAGGTTTCCGGTAAAGATTGTCCCAAAAACCATGGATAAGCACAAGCGAACACAAGCATTGATTCAAGGGGACAATGAGTGTCCCAAGTGTCAACATAACGTAGACCCTCCAGACCCTCCAAGCCATCAAAATTGTCACAAGTCCTCAAGATAATTGGTATATTGCCAGAATTTTCAAGGTACTTGGAGGGTCCAGGTACTAGAATGATGTATGATACTCAATATATCTTATCCTTTCAAATCCTTTGATTTTTTTCTTAAATATCATTGATATACATGGATATACCTTAATTTAGCTTGATTTATCTTGATTTACCGGAAATGACTTCAGCTTCAGAACATCCGTTGACCAAGCCACGCGCTTCCCTTGAAGGTCTGCAAGAGGACCGGTTCCACCGCCGGATCCGTCTCCTGGCGGAACAACATCGGGTTCAATCATTGGAAACATGGTGGGTTGAATGGACACTAAACATATTTGTTTCTGATAGGAAGACATATTGATGTTTCATATATGGAACCTAGAACTTTTGATGTTTCGACACAAACATGGTTCAATGCCACGGGCTTGAATGAATGAACTCGAATGCTCGCCCTATCCAAATACTTCCGAGAGAAGGGTAGTATGGTTGAAATATGTGTCATTAAATATGCCACAAAATATATGTATAATGGTTGACAATGGGGAAAAAACAATGAACAACTCGCACGAGAAATTCCAAATACTATTACTATCTATTAACCATTATTATTCCATAGTTTCGATGATAACTGACAATTAGGGTATCTGAATCTGGTAAATATATGAATATATCATAGATATTATGGATGGACACTATTTGTACCTTTTTGGTCAGTTGTGGTCCGTCTGATATTCCATGGTATGGAGTCAGTGGGTAGTAAACAGAATATGGCATCTGGTTGGTAATTTCAACACTAAAGAACATGCTCCTCGCTTGGAATTATCATCCAAGTCGGGTTGAAACATATTAAGAATGTTTGAAACTACCGGATATAGAAATTATGATGACTTAGTGACTTATGTAGGTGAATTCCAACATAATCCGACGATTCCAACATATTCCAACCATGTCCTGAACTTCACGCTATAGAAATCGATGATTCATCGGCTCAATTCAGCCCCTGAAGGGTCGTCGCCCTCCGATCGATCCTCGGCATTTTCGATGGGGTTGCCAAACTGGATGCAACCTGCCGTCAGCTCCAAAGGGACGTGGTTGTCTTGTCTGATCCAACTACTTTGTGAGAATGGAAAACTATGGAAAACTTAATCCGAAAATATCCCTAAATCATACCCATTGCTACTGTATATTCTGTTCCAAGATGCACAGCTACCCATTTTTATGACATGTTGTGCAGCAAATGGTTTTTGTTATGTGTTGATTGTTTGTAAGCAAAGTCTGCAGGGGAATAGACCCCTTCTTGACCGCAAAGTGCAAGTGATTGTTTGTAGTTCTTTGCAAGCCTCACAGGAAAAGTTGAATCCTGTCACAAAAATCTGTAGATGCCAGTGATTTATGACAATATATGATAGCCTTTGGAGGTGAACTCTATTTGTGCTCTAAAATAACGGTTTTAAGCCTACTCTTGTCACAAAACACTGTAAACACAAGTATTTTTAAGCATTTTTTGTTCAAAAATTTCTCCCCCGTGAGGGGGAGAAAAGACATGGCTTCCTTTAGATTGGCATTAAACCAATTAATCAAGTATGACATCCATGAAATCCATAATCATTACCTGAATCCCCAGGATTCCCAATTTATAATCCTTAAAATTACTGAAACCACCGTTTGTGATGATCAAACCCATTAAACCACAACTTTTCATACTTAATCCACCATTTTTCGATGAATCCATTGAGTCAGAATCTCTCAACGAAAACGGCCCTTCACCTTCCAAGCGCTGATAGTCGCCATCCGTAAACTTCGCCACAACCAGCAGCGGTTGCCCCATCCTGGCCGCATGCGCGGCTTGGGGATTCGACATGTTAAGAAACCTCCCACATAAAGGTTTCAACTGTAAATGTTCCCGTCCAAATTCTGGAAGCTTGGAAACATCCTGTACATTCGTGACTTGAAGGTTGGATCTATTTTAGAACATTTTTGAGAATATGTAATGATTCAAATAATGAATTAAATCTCATTCTGAGCAAACAAAATCCGTCCCATGTCCCGGGCCCCAAGACATGGCGTGCTTTTTGATCCACCGATTGCCCTTGTGGGTCGATGCGTAAGGGCCACCTTGGAGGTGGGGAAACGCTGAAACGGGATAGAAAAAACCATGGTATCTGGAAAAGGTTGGAAAATACTGGGAAATTGATGGAACTTGTGGAAAATGATGTTTAATGTTGTAATGTTGATAAGAGCGTATTTTTTTGTGAAACATGTCTTATTATATAGACAAAATATAAGGTGAAATGAGTACAAGTATGTATTCAACTGGGTCCAAAACCAGGTGCCAATCGTCCGTCCAAAAATGTGGTCAGAATCCTCAATCCAGACGTTCATCACTGAGCCATGCTGAGCATGGAACCGTCGTGCCTGCCGTATCCCCACAGAACAGGGTGCACTTGTGTCACAGTCCGACATTGAATGGACAAGTCTGAATACGTCTTGCTAATTGCCCAGATGTCAGTCGCAAATCGCAACAATCCATAACAATCCAAGAACCAAGGGAAAAAAACGTATATGAAGCCTTCTCCAAACATGTGATACCCCAAAAATTGTTGGTTAATCATTTTCCCTACTGACTGACGTGACCAAAAATATCCATAAATTGAGATTACCCTCTAGTAAACTAACATAACTATGGAAAATCACAATTATAAATTGGTAAGTCAACGAACTAAATGGCAATTTTCAATAGCAAACTGTTAGTTTACCACACGATAAATCCAGCATTTTCAGTGCCCGGATAACCGCCTTGTCCATGATGATGCCATTCTCGATGCTGAAGGAGTCGTTCGGCAGTCCGGCCACCACCCAAGCCCTCACCTGCCATATCTGAATTTTAAAGAAATGACAATATTTTCCAACCCCCCCAAAAAATGGTAAACGTATAATTAATCAACGTATGATTTTGCCTTTTTCTTTAGGTTTCTACCAGAATTCCATTTGTTGGACTCTTTTTTGGGGGGTTGCGATGGAGCCATCAATGCTGCGATGGAGCCAGCACTCCAAACCAACCACAGAAGCCGTGAAAAAATGATGTTCACATTAAGTGGCCTACTCGTGGTGTAGGTTTTATATGGTTCATCATAAATACATCCCATTTCTTCCCATTCATCTCCACTGCTCCTGAAGTCATCGATCCAGTCTATCTAGCACCTTTCTGGACCCCATACGGTGGTTTCCCAAGTCAGTACCCCGAGTCATCATCCATTGATGGGTTCCTCCATGAAATCATCCAGCTATTGCCAGCTAGTGGGGTACCCACCTATTTATGATATGGACATGGAATGGAGTATTCACCCATGATTAACCCATGATTCACAATTCTATTTATATATTCACCACTGTATATCAACCATATATCAACCATTGTTAACCCATGATTAACTGATTAAGCATTATAATGCCATTCTATTAACCCTCCATTTTGGGAGACCACGGATCCTCCCAAAACCAGCAGTGGCGCCTTCACGGGTTCCCCCAGGCACTCCAACGAGAACTTCTCGGAGCGGATCTGGCGCTGCGACTCCACCCAGGCGCCAGGCCGAGGCCGAGAAAGGTGGGACTTATTTTTCTATGGGGGTTACTCCAATAGCTGGATGGTTTACAATGGAAAATCCGAACATAAAAAGGATGATGATTGGGGGAACCCTGGGTTAAACAGGACCAACATGGATGATTTGTGGGGTCCTAAATCATGGAGGTACCCGAATAGCTGGATGGATGGTTGATTTCATGGAAAATCCGAACATAGAATGGATGATGACTGGGGGATGCTGGGGGTACCGCCCCCAATTTGAGGAAAGCTCCATATATATAACTGCATGTGTTATAAAGTTAAGTTAAGTTATATATATATATTATATGATTATGCATTGAATATACGTGCTAAGCAGTGATACTGAGTGGGATGATCTTTACATGTTCAAACTCAAAGTTTCCGCTTTGTGAGAGGGACCTATGGTGACTTGGAGATCCCCATTTTTTTGAGATCTCCATAGAAATAACTGTTTTGTGAAGTTCAGATATGAATATGCTTTGCTTACCAGTTATACTAGTGGGATGATCTTCTAGAAGGTGATAAAACAAATTGTGTTGATTCAAACAATGTGATGATGATGATGATGATGATGGTGGTGGTGATGATGATGATTGTGATGATGATGATGATGATGATGATGATGATGATGATGATGATGATGGTGGTGGTGGTGCTGTTCTCTCAACAAATCAATGATACAGTAATTCGTGGTAAAAACAACACTGATGTCGCTGGAAATGGCAAAAAACACCAAGTCCAAATGATATTTTCATGTCTTTTCCTTCCTTTGGGATTCTATGGCAATGCCATAAGTTTGTCATGGTCTGAGAGGCTGAGAGACAGGCTTCACAGCGCTCTCGCGGAAGTCTGGAGTGAAGGCACCCAGTGCGATCAAACCACTGGCAACAATGACCTGGCCACGGCATTGCGAACGGTCACCAATGATACCAATGAACCTGGCCAGATTATTTTCCAAGGCTCAACGTTTTGCACGAAAAAACGTCTGACCGTCTGACATACGATGCCTCGAAAAAACGCACGTGAGCAGCAGCGATCCCCACCGAAAAACGCACACGGGCGGAACTTGCACCAGATAGGTCTTCTTCAATGACTCCTCAACTGGCGCTGCCACGCACATAGATATTTCCCAGAATTTTCAGAGAATTACCACATGGAACACACATTAAACATACTAACATATAATAGCAATATCACAATATCACCTTCAGTAAGTCTGGACCGATGGCATCGCCATTCAATGGATGGCCAGTTGATTATCAACAAATATTTAATACTGCAGGCATCAAGGTAGCCTGGTATGCTCCATTCGCAAGTCAGGATTTCGGAGCTACATCATAGCGCATCCTCACCCCTGAGTTTTTTGTCGAACATCGCAATATTCCAAGAATCAGATATCCATTCCATCCACTGGTTCATGATCATTGTCGCAACGAAAATGACCATACATGACCATACATTGAATTGTATTTTTTTGCCACTCAAATTTCCATGTACAATTATGTCCATAGAATAATCTCAATGCGTCATTCTGCGACCATCTTTATATCATGCTTCAATCGTGATATTTGATGCTTAAATCATGCACAACCTCCGATTTTCATGGCTCAATCCTCATGTTTCTTGCTTAAATCATGTTAAATCACCAGATTCCCACGCCGAAATCATGTGAAATCCTCCTAAGTTTGGCGGCAAAACCCCAAGTTTGAAGGTTTACATCCCAATTTTTCTTGCTTCAACCAGGGTCAAAGACTTTGGAAAGTCTGAAACAATCCAGGAAAAAACAATTCCAATGGCTTATTTGTTCATGTTCCCTATGTGATGGCCATTTGAATGGATTCACTTCAACAAAATTACACCTATTCGCCATCTCCTTTTCTGCTTGAAAGCCGTTTCCCTATTCGCCATGGCTTCTCATAATCCTCAGTAAATTAGGTACTAGATGGTACTAGTGTATAGATGATTATAGATGTATATATTAGTGGTGCCAACGGGTCTCACCCAAACCTATGGTTTGAGAAAAAATATTTATATCTCTGTGGCTGTCTGAAAATTAGCTACCCATATACAGTATCTCTGTGGTCAATGAAGATCTTTCATAAGCTGGCCATGCTAGGCGGGGTCAGAATCCACCGCATCGCTGTCGGGCTGCATCTCCTCGGGGAGCTGGCTCTTGGCCGCGGCGTCACGGCGTCACGCAGAGCGCCTGATTCAAGAGGATTGTTGGGAGGTTCCAACGCAAGAGCCTTAGGAAATCAGAATTGGGAGGTTATTTAGTTGTAGGAGATGGGATGATTTACTCATTTCTAAGGGGGCAATCCCTATTGAATCCCCATTGTTGGATGTTTTTTTGATGTTTTTTGGGGGGTTCAAGCTGAATAAATTGCAGTGCATTGGAATTATTTCGCCACGGATGGATGAAGTACTTGAATTAGTGGGTTCGGTGGATTTTGAATCTTGCCCCCCCCAATAGCCACCCTGTCTCCTCACTAAGGCCCCGACTGGCATCGTTATTTTGGGCTTCTCGCAACTGCTGACGCGCCTTCGCTCGTGGAACTTCCTCTTGGAAGACCTGCAGGGTGCTGATGGTCATGCGAATGCAGAAAATCTGGGAAAAATGTAATTGTTGAACGGTTGAACGGACAATCTGCGAGTGCAGAAAAAAAGCAACACGCATTAAGGTTGTAAAGCACTTGGCAATTTTGGAGTTGCAACAATTCAGAATGATGCAGCTACCAATCATCATCAATGACATCTTGCATGCGAATCTTCAGGTACGGTATGGCTGCAAATGGCACGCCATGAAATGCCTCCAGCCATCTCTCGACTCTTTCCAAACTGAGCCACCTGCCCAGGCTCCAAGTCCAAGTCCTTCTCACGCCTGGGCTCTCGATGGCAGGGGTACCAAGAAATTTAAGGAAGCCTAGGTATGCCTAGTGGTTTTTGACACATGGATTGGTACCATCTAAAACAGATTGGGAGATTATGGCCGTATCACAAACGGACCCGTTTCGGGTTGCATCTGCCATCTGCCGTTCTTCATCAAAGCTGTCCATCAACTGAGCGCTCAGGCCCTTTTCCTTTGCTTTTTGCAATGCCTGCGTGGAATCAAAAGTGCTTTGACCATCACTCTCCAAAGTCAGTGGCACAAATAAACTTCCAGAACCAAAAAGGATCAGGAACTATGTTTAACTATCACAATTACTTTTGAGCAATTTGATAGATTATTTGGGATGACTTGATAGATGAGAATGTTTGCTTAAATTTCCAGTCCTCAGTCCCGAAGGACGAGTGCCGTGCGCCTCTGACGCCAAACCCAAACCATGATCCACTGACGCCAACTGGCGATCCTGGCGACTCATGATCTGACCCGTCATGCCCAGACACCTGGGATAGTTGGAGAGTTGGGTGATATCATGTCTAATAGTTATTTGTTGAGAATTGGCATCACCGAACTATTTAACATGAAACATGAAGAAACCTCGTAACATCTATCAATCCCGGCAGCCAAATGTCCCTCAAAAGCCAAATGTCCCTCAACCAACATCATGACGTCATGGTGAGGCCATTGTAATTTTAATCACGATCAATGAAAGGAAAAGGATATGGGATGATATGTGGCTTTGTCCAAGATGTGGTACAGCAAGCCCCAAACAGATAGAAAAGATGGAGACCAGGAAATTATCGGGGAAACATCATCGAACTAACATCCTGCAAATTTCCCAACGTGTAGGAATTATTGTCATAGTTGCAGCCACAAAATATAATCCCAACTGCACCCCAAGTAACATCAAAAATATCTGAACTTGGCAATCCCAAACTGATGAAATCTCCACAATCTTGGATGCTCAGATGAAGGCCCAACCCAACCCGGTCCTCTCCAAAGGAGCTTCGAAAGCTACTGCGGCAGATGATCAGATTCGATGAGCTTTGGCGAAGTTTGAAAAGAGGTGGGTTTATCTGAAAATGGACTATTCATGAATATCCCAAATCTATTCTCCATTGGCAATTTTGCTGGCATTTTCAGACCCGGGTGCGCTGCAGGCTTCAAACTTTATCCAGGATGCATAGTTTCCAAACAATTTCCGCCTCAGGACCTCGAGAAATCCTCCACGCGGATTTCCTTGGTGCGTTTCTGCATCATGATTTTGCGCCACGAAGGATGCCTCTTTCGTAAAAACCCGTCCATTCAGAGAATGCGTCTTATTTTCAATGGAAAATATGACAACGTAGCAGAATATGAAAAATATGACGTCTGAAGCTAAAATTCAGATATTAAGGATTAATGTCAACCCTGGATTAGTAAACCCTTAGGCTGTTTAATTGGAGGGGGTACCATTAAGTATCAGATTATGACTATTGGGGAAGTACCACCCTAGTCTTAAAAAAATATGGTTTATTATGAAAAACAAGGGCCAAGATATCATCCAGCCGGAGCAGTGAAAGAACCTGAAATCCAAACCGCAAATCCTGAAGCAAGATCATCCACAATCATACATGCAGTTTCAACACTACAAAATGGTGTATCAATGCATATTATATGTGCTTTTTCAGGACATTGAAACCGGATTTCACAGTGTCCTGCAGAACCCATTTGTCTTCTTCTTTGGACTCAATCCTTCGAAGGTTCTGGTAGATATAACGATTGTTGATAAAAGTTGAAAAACCCTGTCATTTACCCTCTGGTAATGTAACCTGGCTATTGAAAACGGTCCATTTAGTTTGTCGGTTTACCTACCGTACCATTCACGGTGATTGTCCATGGCTGTCTATGCTACCAGAGGCTACATATGAAGTTGCTTTTCAAACATACAATTGAGGGGGAAGTGGCAGGAGCACTCCCCAGATCATTGAGACAATCCCTGGGAAATCATCCGCAGATCTTCATTTATTAGTAACCCTGCTGAAGTCCCCGACTCATCCATCTTTAGAACTGGGACAATTGACTCCGCAAATACGAAGCACATTCCAAGCATTATCATGTTAATAAACCGTCATTCATCTGATTATATCAAGTGATACATTTGTAATAGCGGTTTAAACTGATATGCAGATACACAATGACAAGTTAAGTGATGGTTATAACAATAGGTGTATATCTGATAACTATAATCGGGTGATATCAGGTGTTTAGACCCCTGTTGTTTGATAATCGGTATTCCTACTTCCATTACTGACCAGTTGGGGTGGTGTGAACCACCAAGCAGCATCTTGGCACCCTTTTGACGGCAGCTTGCTCAAACCTCGGCAATGGAGGTATCTCAATGTGTGAAGCCTAGGTGCCTAGGTGTTCATGGGTAGCTATCCGGAAAACTGGTCTTGACTTGCAAATGGTGTGAAATGAAGAAAAATCTGCCAAAGAGAGTAGTACTAGTACAGCTAGTTGTAGATCAATTTGTTTCGCCCGACCCTGCAGTTCCAAACACTGTCTGAGACGCTAGTAGTTGGTTTTTGGGTCCCAAACATCTTCCGAGAGTAAGTTTGGAGCGCCAGGGCAGAAACGGCCCTTCTTCGTGAAATAAAATGGTATTCTTGTAAGTAATGTTTCACAGGACCCATGCAGGTTGACATGTTTTTTTTCCCCGAATGCGTAGCAAGGGTTCCCGTTTCACTCTGGGGGTCTGGGGGTTGAGGGTGTGTTCGCTCGACGTTGCGTTTGTGGTCGCAACCGTTCGCAACCGTTCGCGTGAGGACCGTATGGCCGTGCCTATGGTAAGTTCTGCAGAGGTGGTCATTTTTGGAGGTTTCAGACGTCTCGTTGCTTCGTTTCGCGTGGCAGGCGTGGCACTTTGTGACATTCAGACGTGTTCTGCAACGTGTCGAAAGTCGTTTCGCGTGGCAGGCGCAATACTTTTGCGACGTTTTCAGAAGATGTGTTGCAGTTTTCGTGGCAGGCGCAGAACTTTGGACGTGTTCATCGTCATTTTTCGTGGCAGGCGCAGCACTTTAGACGTGTCGTGTTGCGTGTTTTTTGTAAATCGCATTGGCAGGGCTGCGTCAAGTGGCGACAAGGTGCAAATTCCGTGGCAGGCGTGGCATTTTGTGACATGTACTGAAAATTGACAGACGCCTCGCACGAAACATCGATTTTGAGGTAGCAAATTTAGAGGTTCCTAAGAAAACTCGTAGGAAAACGTCGATTTTAAAGCTACAAAGTGTGAAAATTGGAGGAAGTCTCGCACGAAATGCTCGTTTTGGTGCTCCCACGCGTCTCGTCTCGAGTCTCTGGTTTTCCCGTGGCTTCGCCGTGTCTATGGGGGAAGCTGCAAAACCTGTCCTTTTGTCATGTTGCCAACTGTGAAAATTGCCGGAAGTCTCGTACGACATGCTGGTTTTTCTGCATCCACGTGTCTTGTCTCGAGTCGCTGGTTTTCCTGTGGCGTCGCCGTGTCTATGGAGGAAGCTGGAAAATATCTCCTATTCGAATGTGTCCAAGCAGGTTGTCATGTCCTTTTGCGTGGCAGGGATGGCACTTTCTGACATTCCAACCTGTTTGATAATGTGTTGAAAATGTCAAAATTGGAGGAAGTCTCGTACGAAATGCTGGGTTTTCTGCATAATCTTGTCTCGAGTCGCTGGTTTTCCTGTGGCGTCGCCGTGTCTATGGGGGAAGATGGAAAACATCTCCTATTCGAATGTGTCCAAGCATGTTGTCATGTCGTTTTGCCTGGCAGGCGTGGCACTTTGTGACATTCCAACCTGTTTGATAACGTGTCGAAAATATCAAAATTGGAGGAAGTCTCGCACGAAATGCTCGTTTTTTTTGCACCCGCGTGTCTCGTCTCGAGTCTCTGGTTTTCCTGTGGCGTCGCCGTGTCTATGGGGGAAGCTCCGCACTGCTCACTCTACACTTTACACTCCACACTCCACAATTTACACTTTAGATTCCACACTCTACACTTTACACTCCACACTTTACACTCCACACTTTACACTTTGCACTTTACACTCCTCACTCCTCACCTGAGACTTTACACTCCACACTCCACACTTTACACTGCACTCTGCACTTTCCACTCCTCACTCCTCACTCTACACTTTACACTCCACACTCTACACTTTACACTCCACACTCCACACTTTACACTACACACTCCTTACTTTACACACTTCACACTCCACACTTTCCACTCCACACTCCACACTCCACACTTTACACTCCTCACTCCACACTTTACACTCGTCACTTTACACTCTACACTCCACACTCTACACTTTACCTCTACACTTTACACTCTACACTCCACACTCCACACTCTACACTCCACACTCTACACTTTACACTCTACGCTCCACACTTTACATTTTACACTCCACACTCCACACTCTACACACTACACTCTACACTTTCCACTCCACACTCCACGCTCCACACTCTACACTTTACACTCCACACTCCACACTCCACACTTTACACTTTACACTCCTCACTCCACACTCTTCACTCCACACTCCCCACTTTACACGCCACACTCCACACTCTACACTTTCCACTCCACACTCCGCACTCGACACTCCACACTTTACTGTACACTCCACACTCCACATTTTATACTTTACACTCCTCGCTCCACACTCCACACTTTACACTCCTCACTTTACACTCCACACTCCACACTCTACACTTTCCACTCCAGACTCCACACTCTACACTTTACGCTCCACACTCCACACTTTATCACTCCACACTTTACACTCCACACTCACACTTTACACTCCACACTCCACACTTTACACTCCTCACTCCACAGTCCACACTTTACACTCCACACTCCTTACTTTACACAATTCACACTCCACACTTTCCACTCCACACTCCACACTCCACACTTTACACTCCACACTCCACACTTTACACTCTACACTCCACACTTTACACTCCACACTCCACACTCTACATTTCACACTCCACACTTCACACTCTACAATTTACAAACTCTAACTCCTCACTTTACACTTTACACTCCTCACTTTACACTCCACACTCCTCACTCCACACTTTACACTCCTCACTTTACACTCCACACTCCACACTTTGCACTTTACACTCCACACTCCACACTCTACACTCTACACTTTCCACTCCACACTCCACACTCCTTACTTTACACACTTCACACTCCACACTTTCCACTCCACACTCCACACTTTACACTCCACACTCCACACTCTACACTCTACACTCCCCACTTTACACGCCACACTCCACACTCTACACTTTCCACTCCACACTCCGCACTCCACACTTTACTGTACACTCCACACTCCACACTTTAAACTTTACACTCCTCGCTCCACACTTTACACTCCTCACTCCAGACTTTACACTCCACACTCCTTACTTTACACTCCGCACTTCAACTCCACACTTTCCACT